TATTTTAGTCATGTCAGGCATGCCTTAACTGTATTTTCACCTGTATTGCATCCCTCTATGGTGCTTCGAAAATTTTATCTCGCTATATCTCTGGATTCTGGTTTTATCTCTGGATTCTAAGCTATGTTTTGATCTCTGCATCGTGGCCTGCGTTAGTCCCGCTTAATCATTTGTGATACCTTCTTTTGTTTTGCAATGCTTCTCATTGTGTGCTTTATTTGAGGAAGTTTTATACACTCACTTTTATGAAGCGGTTCGAATAAATTCAGATTAGCTTCTGTTGTTGTTGTTCTCGGCGGTTTCTAGCCAAAATTTTCGTCGAAAGGGGAGAGCTTTTGGACTTCCCGATTGTATGATGACTTTGATGTGAGGAGAGGTGTAAGTATGGTAATCCATTGCTAAAAGCAGACATTCGCAGGCCTAGGGTCTTAAGTGTGGAAGAAAGCCACAACCGCACCGCAAACCGCGCGCGGTCGACACAGGGGCGGGAAAGAATTTCTTCAAACTGAGCGCCGCATTTTTCTTTTCAGCCCTTTCTGAAAACTTTCTATATTTGTTCGTTTTTCTTTGGGACGCGAAATACGGTTTTGGATCGAACCTGGGTCATGTGCTTTCATATGTATCGCTGGCTCACATTCTTAATCCATCTTCGCATTCATTGCTTGCTCAGGTTTCATTTTCAGATGTCTAATCGGGCGGAAGTTAGCGATTATAGGTGGGGAATAGGCAGATTCGGGAGTGAGTTTCCATGTGTTTATATTACTAGGAAGTAAACTAAGGGCTATCCAAAATACGACGCATACTTGCAGGAGCTGTGGATAGGGAAATTGAGGAGCGCCAGCGCGATATGGCCCACGTCCAAATGCTTCGCGAGGCCGCAATGCATGAAGGTGGATTCATTATTTAGTGTGAAACGTTCATCAAGAACAAAATTATTGAATTATCGCTTCTAGAGATCCCGTCACGGATGGAGTTAATGGACAATGAGTACCCGCAAGGACTGGAGGAGGATTCCCGGCCCTCTCCGGCCATTTCCGGTCGGCGATATTTTGTTTTCTCTAAGCTTGCTGCAAGATTTCTTTACGAGAAGTACACTAAGCTAACCCAATGATTTCGCAACCCCGCAATGGGATGTACTTCAATAAGTAGATTAAAATCGGTTGATATCATATCTCAAACTTAAACAAAAAGTAGCTACAACAAGTACGCAGATAATTTGGGCTTCCTAGCGCAGAATAGTCATATTTTCTTTGCTCCACTGCTCAACTCTTTAAGAAGCTATGCCATGCGTTTAGATGTTCCGGCAATTGAAGTCTCGGAGGAATCTCCGTCATTCAATTTCACAGAAACCGGTGGAGCCGATCATATGTGTGAGCATCGTTCAGTTGCGGTGACAGTCTCAAAGCTCTAAGATTTATTCAGCTCTCCAAGAAAAAGTGCTTTACTACGCCATGTTTATCTTGCACTTTGGCTTGTCCGATGAGGAAATCAAGCGCATGGAAGAGCTGATGGAAGTACTTTACGGCACAGCACCACCAATTTCTGTAGTGTTTGCGTTCTATACTTGCAGTTTGAGAACCCAAAATATTCAGTATGAACAACATGTTCGGCAGCTATACAGAAATCTATTAAACGACTACAACAGAAAGCGCTATTTTTTCTGCACCGCCTGCGGCTATCCATTGCGCGAATGGAGGAACCTTTGCGAAAATGTTGGCTGCGCACTTTATCGGTTGGTGACAATATGAGAGGTCTGAAGTAGTTCTCAGTACTGGTTATTTGCAGAGTGTGCATCAAAAGAGCTAAATCGGTGCAAAGGACTGAAATTCATGTACTTAATATCGTCCCCCAGTTGATAGATAGCATAACCAACCAAATCGAGCAAATCATCAACTTCCATCGCAATCTACATGAAGCCGAGGTTGATTTTACAACACATAAATACCTCTTTATCAACTTCTACGCTGTAATGGTCGTTGCATCAGGCTGACAGGGGCGAAGATAGAAGTGATACACGTCTGTTTACTGGATATCGTGAAGCTATTGAGAGCGCGAATGAATTTTTTGCATGTCGGCTGCGAATTCTCCTTTCCCTTTCCGTGGATGGCTTTATTCCTAGGCGCCTATCGCGGTATCGCTTTCAGTTCTTTGCTATGAAATGTCGTCAACATGGTCATTTTGTAGTCGCGAGGTGTGGCCACTCTACCTCCGTATCGAAAATATAGCAAGGGCAGAAGGCGACAACTTCTATAATACTCTGCTTGCGGGTGCTTTGTATACTCCAGCAAAGCCTTCTGATGCAATGATGGAAACTCTCTTTAGCAGGTGGGAGCAAGCACCTATATTCCAAATGTCATGAGCACTATGCAGATTGGAATCTGAACTGAGTGATCTGCAAGCAAACCCTATCGCAGTGGATATGGACGGGAGTACATGGACAGTGGAGGTCCATCTGTACCGTGGGATCGCTGATATGGCCGTGAGACGCCCACTTTGTATCCAAAAAAGAGACATGATTTTTTCTTAGGCCCACAAAATCCTATATGGAGTACCGGCGTGGAATCGCGATTACGGCTGTTCAAAATGCAATATGAAAGGAATAGTGCAAGGACGACAACGTATGTGGTTGGCTGAGCGAGAGGAAGTCACTTCGCTTCGAACACCGGAATCATACGCAGAAGACGCGCGGAATTATGGGCAATTCGGCATATTGCGTATGTCCTTTTCTCAGTGCACTTCTCATTTGCAGAACTGATAACAGCATAGCTTGGAGCATTTAGGAATGACTCCTGTCATGAGGATCCTGCTTCCGTGTGCTTTCACTTCGGATGCGCTACACGTCTGCTCTGAAGTGTGACCAGGGACCGAATAAGAGGTCAGATTTCCAGTTTTTCTGGTCTTCAATCTGCGCTCTAAACAATTGCTCTTAGACATGTTCGAATCGTCGTCTAAGTTCCCAAGTTTGCGCATAGACCATCACAACATTGAGCTCGTGAAGACTTGCCTTAGAAGATTGTCTAGTCATACATACTCAAACTCTATGATCTTGTCCTTAGAAGATTTGAGGACTTGCAAAGCAGCCGAATTGGATGAGGTCTTGTAGATTCTAGCTATCTATCTTCTACAGATAGCTCCGTGAATGACCCGTAATTCAGTGGTTGCCAAAAATTCTTGATTTTCAACTGCAAATTTGCAGTTTTAG